GATTCTCTTTCAGTAATTTCAACAAACACTTGTTAGGCATTATCATCAAACAATCCAAAATTCATCTAAAACAATTAATGAAGTTAGAATAATAATGTGGGTGTTAGGTCTGTATCAACAAAGACCATGATCCTTATAAATAGACAAAGAAATCATCAAAAAAATGTTAAAAACCAATATGCGTATAACATATGAAATACAATCATGTAATCCTAAAACTGCAATGAAAAAGATGGAGTCTTATATATAGGCATTTCATCGAACATTTAGAGGGCAGAATACATGTTATATGACAGAATACATATTACATAAAATATGTGTTACTAGTAATTCTGACATAATACATGTTATTTGACAGAAACATTCTCGAAGAATATGGAATAATACATATAACATAGAATATACTTTGACAAAATACATATAATACATAGAATATGGCAGAATACATAGAATATAACAGAATCCATGTCTAAGATTACTAGAAACTATGTTTTAAATATGGAATTAATCAATTACTGAGAATTCGGCTTGAAACATCTCTTATGCATTTTATCAAACACCTTATGTGCACTATCCAATTATCCTAGATTTACCTTAAAATACAATGTCAAACACCTTCAACAAGTTGTATTAAACACCAAACACCTTCATAACACTAGAAATTGAACCGAAAGCAGGAGAAAGATTCATGATATCATGGGTAATCGATAGAAATCGATTACAAATGTTGAGATAATCAGAAATCAAATGCAACTATACCAAACTTGAATTACGAGAACGTATATCCAATTCCACTAGTGAATTTTCAGAACTGGGAGATCTTAATTGGAAAGAACTTACCAGCTTGGTTCAAATAAAATGCAAAGAAATACATCCAAACAGATTGCAATCATCGATTTTTTCAGAAATGGCATTCAGAAAATCATTTATCCAAAACCAAATACATAAAATCGATTAAATAAAAAAACGAGTTCATTAGAAGAAAAAGAAACTTACAGGCTGATTGGAGAAGAAATTTATCTGTGGTCATGGGTCTGGAAACTTGATGATTGATAGTGGAGATTTGAGGGCTCGAACCGTGGAGAGTTTAGGGCTCAATGTGAATTGGAATTGGGCACCATTTGGGTTTATGTTTGTATTGTGTGTCAGGTTGATGATGGTCGACATGGTTGGTTTCTTCTCCCGGTATCATGAAGGAGTTGTTGGTGAAGATTGACGAATCAATTTAAGGACGAATTGTGAGTGCTTTTCTAGGGTTAACAAACTAATTTCCCTAGACATTAAATGTTTTAAATATTTACCAAAATAAAATGTGGCCAAGATTACTATTATACCCTTTTCTGATTTATTATTGAATTTATTTTTGCTTAATTCTGATTGGTTGTTAGAGGCATATAATATTTGTTAAAAACATTTGAACCTAGCTCTCTCTATATATATATATATATATATATATATATATATATATATATATATATATATATATATATATATTTTGCACCCTATTAGGTTTTTGAAATTTAGTAGATTTTTGAAATTTAAAAGAGTTATTTATGATCTTTATTATTTTGCACCCTATTAGGTTTTTGTTTGCTTATAAGATTAAGGTCCATATGTTCACTTTTGATATCAACAAAAAGCTTCTGACATGAGAAACATGAATTATTGATAAGAAGATGTTTGGGGAACAAAGTTTAAAAGATGCTACTCATAACAATGATGATGAAATTAATTTATATTCTAGTTTGTTACCTCTCACTTTTTATTGTATTCACTGTTTAAAAAAAAAGTAAAAATCTATAAATGAAAGCATAATTTGAAATGTACACATTTTCTTCTTTGGACTTCAGATATTGTAAATTATATTTAGAAAAATATACAAATTTAAGTGTACATATTACATTCTTTGGCCTTAAGATATTGTAAATTATATTTAGAAAAATATAAATAAATGGTTCATGTGGTTTATCAAAGGTCGTAAACTTAATTATTGCTATTTTTTACGAACATGGCCCGTGGTTTCCAAAACTTGCATGAATAGTTAATTTTTGCTAACACCGTTAGTTTTCGTCTGCTTGTGTGAGAATAATTTGGTATTTTCATGTAGCAAGGACTTAGTTTGTGACCATGGGTAAACCATAGGGTCCATTTATATAATTTTGTAAATAATTTTTGTCATAAGCGTCCCATAAATTTTCATTTAAATAAAGGTAATCAACTCATTTTCATTGGAATGAAAAATAAGTAACCAATGTATGAGTTTGATAATACGAAAAGCCAAATATCAGAGGTTTGAAAATATAACAAGATCATAAAATGCAAAAAGTCTCCAATGGATGCAATGCAATCAAGTCGCGCGCTTTCCTTTGCTACCGGAGCAACCTAAAACATTTAAAACTTAAAACTTAAGCACAAAACTTAGTGAGTTTCATGCATAACACATACCGATCTGAATGTTATGGGCCAAACATAGTCTTACAATCACTTTCGTTGCTATAGGCCCCTTATAGTCTTTATTGTTATGGTCTCCCCCCCCCCCCCCCCCCCCCCCCCCCCTTTATAGTCTTTCATATAAATATTATGGTCCATCCATAGTCTTTCATACAATTTTCATGGTCTACCCATAGTATTTTAAGCAATTCACAAAGACAAACATGCATACCATTACACCTAGTGTCCTAGATAGTTTAGCGAGAAGTCTCACATTAATACAAGAGCTGAAATCCAAACACTTGAGATCACCCGAAAGTAGCTACACCACCACCTAAACCAAATAGGGGCTAGACCTCGATCTATTTCTCAAAACTCGAAAGTTTGACTAAAAGTCAAACTGATCAAAAAGCCAACAGTCACTGGTCAAAGTCAATAGTCAATCCCCACCGTGTCATAGAAGACCCCTACACCGCTCCGCAGTCACTAAACGCCAAAGTTGTAAAAAACGTTCGACGTTAGTAGTCGGTGGACTAGAGTTAAGGGATAAATCGGCTAGGCGATGATTAATTGGGGACCATAAATTGTTATTTCGTTGAATTTTAAAATAAATTAAATATGACTAATATCATAACAATGTTCGTAAATACCAATAATATCTTAACAAAATAGGTTAATATGATTAACACAATTCTAATCATTCTTCAAATAGTTTCTATTAAAATAGACGAAAACTAAACATGTTACAAAAAACGACAATTCAAGCAAGTTTTGGAAACCACGTCGACCATGTTCGTAAAAAAAAAGTTAACAATGAATGAATTTGTGATATTTGGAAAACCAAAAGGACCATTTATATAATTTTGTCTTATATTTATTTTAAAGTTAACATTAACTTTTAATAAATCTAATAAATTTCTATTGATCATGACCATAAAAGAAGTGACCATGATAGTGTTTCTTTGTCGATATCAGTTTAAACGGTTGAATAAAAACTAAAGACAATGAAAATCAAATACACATGATTATATTTTTAGTGTAGTGGGATTAGGTATTGTTCTTTCTTTTGATTTAAGTTCCGGGGAAATCTCCAAAAAAGTCCTAAAATTTTACCATAATTTACGAAAAAGTCTCAAACTAAAATTTGTTTACGAAAAAGCATGAATTACCGGTAAAAATGGTGATTTGACCCATTTTTTCCGGTTTACCGGTTTTTTTACTTACATGTTTCACTAAAGTCCCATTATTTTACCCTAATTTGCGAATAAGTCCCAAAATAAAATTTACTGATGATTTGGCCATTTTCTTCATGTAACATACATTTTATCGGTTTCATTGCAGACTTAGACACCTAGTCATTAAATTAGTTGATAAGATGAATATGATGGGTTATATAATGTCACATTTACTGTAAAATTTGATACCTATCTCATCAGCTCATTTATGATTATGTATCTACGTCAGCAATGAAACTAATAAAATGTGTGTTTCCAAGAAAAAAGGGCAGAAAATGAGTTGATGTATGATGAGATGGATATATTGGGTTACATTAGATTAGATAGACAATTTGATATTTCTTATAAACGTAAAAAGTAACGCAGTTGTTGTTAGTTTATGTAATTATTGTAGTCTTCGTTGGATGCATTTTATGTTCCAAAAAGATATACAAAACATCAAGATATCAAGTTTTATGCTAAACATAGCATTATATAACTCAGCATATCCATCTCATCATCTCATTTAATGACTAGGCGTCCGGGTCAGCAAGGAAACCGGTAAAATGTATGTTACATAGTGAAAATGGCCAAATCATCAGTAAATTTTATTTTGGGACTAATTCGCAAATAGGATAAAATAATGAGACTTTACTGAAACAGGTAAGTAATAAAACCGGTAAACCGGAAAAAACGGGTCAAATCGCCATTTTTACCGGTAATTCATGCTTTTTCGTAAACAAAATTTAGTTTGAGACTTTTTCGTAAATTAGGGTAAAATTTTATGACTTTTCTGGAGATTTCCCTAAGTTCCGTCTAGGACATAAATGATATTTCCATCGGGGACACAAATGATGTTTAAAGTAATTTATGAGCAAACTAGATTATATATATATATATATATATAGATATATATATATATATATATATATATATATATATATATATATATATATATATATATATATATATATATATAACAAGATATCTAAAAAAATTAATTCTATAAAAATCTAAAACATTATAATATACATATCACATAGTTATCAACCAAAATGCCTCTAGAAGCAAACTAAAATGTCCAAATTATGTGAGCACTATTACAAAATGACTATATTTTCAATAAATATTACAGGATGATCATTTAAAAGAAACAAACTTTAAGAACTCGTTTCTTTCTTATAAGATTCAATCTTTCATTAGATTATATTATTTTTAGGAAATTACATATTATATATTTTTAAATGGCATCACTTTTTAATCTATTGAACCCTTGTTAGAAAATAAATTTGATAGGGTGAAAATGCTTCCAAAGGAGTCGGACGGTCGCAAGAACACCCACTAGGCACGGCGACAATGGGTGGACTGAGGTCCGTCGTAAGAGAAACTCAAGAGATAACTCTAAGGAGGTCATTAGCTTTTACGTCACAAACTTTCAGGCAGACAGTAGCAATGGTAAGGAAAACCTTCCAGACCTTTGGGAAGTTGGTGGTTGTTTACATCTTTGGGAGGAAGGACAAAGGAGGTTCGTTTTTTGCATTCATCAGATATGAAGGAGTCAAAGATATCGATTCACTTGTGTTAACACTTAATCAAGTTAGATGTGGGCATTGTATAGCAAAGGTCAACATTGCAAAGTATGTGAAGAAGCCGCCCAGACTTATTCCTCCTCCAAGATCCAATCGAACTAGTCAACCGGTGATCCCAAGCACAAAATGGAACAATATTTGCAACGGAAAATCTTTCGTTGAAGTTGTCTCCGGGAACCACAGGAAATATGATACTACTCCTCACTCCCCTTCTGTGGAGATCCTAATGGTCCTTCTGAAGAGAGCTCCAATGTTAGACTCATGTAACAGTCGATGCCTGATCGGGGAAGTTAAGGATTTGAAGCTATTAAACAATATGCACACTCTTCTAAATGTTGATGAGAGTATTGCAACACGCGTGCTATACGCTGGGGGTTAGAAGATTATACTAAAATTCCATTTCCAGGGAGGAGCGGAGACTTTCATGGCTGATACTCACAAATGGAGCAGATGGATAAAATGGCTTAGAGTTGAATTCGTAGAAGATCTAACAAATGATAGGCTGGCTAGAATCATGATACCGGGGTTACCCATTCACCTTCGCTCCGATGAGAATATCGCATTAATCACAAGCAGGTTCGGGAAGGTTCTTGAAGAAGAAGGGCACAAATGGCACTCTATGGATCTCTCCTCATGTTATGTAACATTGATAAAATTCTACAAAATTCTAAACTTTTTAAATAACCCAAAAATCATCATTGTTTACAAATTATTTTCAAGTTAAGTTTCACATTAGAGAAATCCCAAAATCGTGGAACCAAAAACATGAGGAAGTGCACGATCACGCCTTCGCCTTACCGCGATCCTGAGAAGTACCTGAAAACACATTCCAAAACTGTAAGCCCAAAGCTTAATGAGTTTCCCCAAAATACTGATGGGTTTTAGGCATAAGAACAATCCTATGTGCTCATACAAACCCTAATGCTTGGATCTAGGTTTCTCTGTTGTACATGCATTGAATCCAAGACTTGCAAACCCTAATCTAGCATACATAATTCGAAAATTAACTTAATACATCAGATCTAGATGTTTACCTCTTCAAAGATTGGCTTAGATCTTCTTTTCTTTTTCTCTTGAGCTTAGAGTCACAATTGTAACTCCTCTAATGGATCACAAACACCTCAAGCAAGAAGGCTACTTTGAGAGAGTAGGGAGGATGCTAATTTTCGGCCCTAGGGTTTCTCTTGGGAACAAGTGGTCGAAAATTGGAGTCTTGGGGTCTCATTTATAGTGCAGGCTGCTAGGGTTTCAGTCTAAACCCTAATGGATACCTTAGCCACCAAGTAGCCCAAGGAACCTTATGGAATAAGGCCCTTGGACGAAAATATGATGATCATAATTTCCTTCCCCCTTAGTCCATTAGGTTTCCCAGCCCAAAACTCAACTATCACATATTTGATAGTTTATGCCCCTTTATTTAATTAATCTCTTTTAGTCACCAAATTAATTCCTAATTAATTTATGACTAATACTAATTAAATAAATATGATTTCTCCTTTAATATATCATTCTTATAATATATTAATAAACCATAATATCCTCTCTCTCATATCAAATTACCTTGTCAAGTTGCTTTGGTGAAGGCAACCCAAAAGGACCATGCATAACCGGGTCATGTACATACCAAATATAGTTACGGGCTTAGACACTAATCCAACAGTCTCCCACTTGGATAAGTCTAGTAACTATATCTCACATACGACTTCAGGATCTGGTTAGCAATTGTAGCTCTTATACGCTTCTGTCAACTCTGATCAAAATCCTGTCCTTCAGATAAGGGATCGTATAATCCTCTGCCTAGATATCATGTTGACAATACTTATTGTCCAGCATTTTGTTTCTCGATTTTCTGATTTATTCGACATAGAATTTAGTTGAATACATCAACTTCATTCTGACCGGGCCCGACACATAAGTCAAACTAAATCATCGAGTGGCCAAGATATCACTTTTATTCTCTTAGAATAAAAGGTACAGAAAAACTTCGACTTATATGCTTTTATCATTTACTAGCAAAGTCACACACAATAATGCGTTTTATAACATCAAGTTACTGATGCGTTTTCGCATTATCAATGCATAATCAACTAGCAAACAACAACCATATCTCTAGGTTTAAAGATTATATGATATTATCATCTTGCGATCACTTATGATAACATTCATGAAGTGATACTAGCAAGTGCGGGTTTATTCCAATGCTCAAAACAAATTTCATAAGCACTCATAAACTTCGTAGCAAACCTTTGCTATGTCTAAAACCTTTCAGACAATCTACAAACAAATTTATGACAATCTTCTTTCATATCTACTTCCAACATATGAGTGATTGTGGACTGTTCGAACAATCTTATTATTCAGGAAGTCAAAACATGCAAAATTGGAAATAACAGATAAATAATCAACACAAGATAGTAACTTTCTTATAAATAACACACCTTTATTTAATCATCAAAATGTTGAATACAAAATTATCCATTACAAATTTCCTACCTATCTAATCTAAACTAATATCGTCCTTTAGTCCAACGCTCCTAGCGTGCTTCAAATGCTTAACCCTACTCAGTCCCTTCGTAAGGGGATCTGCTGGGTTATCTTCTGACGATACCCTCTTCACAACGAGGAGTCCCTCTTCTAACCGATGTCTAATGAAATGGTATTTCCTGTCGATATGTCGAGATCTGCCATGATCCCTTGGTTCCTTGGTCAAGGCAACCGCTCTTTCATTATCACAGAAAATTTCCATGGGCTCCTTTATGGATGGCATAACTCCAAGGTCTCCTATGAAGTTCTTCAACCATATAGCCTCCTTTGACGCTTCGCTTGCCGCAATGTACTCTGATTCGCACGTTGAATCAGCTACGGTCTCTTGCTTGGAACTTTTCCAAGTCACTGCTCCTCCGTTCAGGGTAAAGACCCAGCCTGACTGTGATCGGTAATTATCCCGATCCGTCTGAAAACTAGCGTCACTGTACCCTCGCACCCTTAAGTCATCACTCCCACCGAGGACTAGAAACCATTCCTTGGTCCTTCGTAGGTACTTAAGAATATTCTTGACAGCAATCCAATGCGCCCTACCAGGGTTCCCTTGATATCTGCTGACTTTGCTCAAAGCGAAGGCCACATCAGGGCGAGTACAGGTCATAGCGTACATAATCGAGCCAACTGCGGAAGCGTAAGGTACTCGGCTCATATCAGCTATCTCTGCCTCTGTACTTGGGCTCTGAGTCTTACTCAGTTTGGTATTGCATTGGATTGGTAACTCCCCTTTCTTGGAATTTTCCATACTAAAACGTTTTAGTACCTTTTCCAAGTATGTATCCTGACTGAGTCCTATCAGTCTCTTACTTCTGTTTCTCACTATCCTTATTCCCAGTATATATGCAGCTTCTCCGAGGTCCTTCATAGCGAAACACTTCCCAAGCCAGGACTTGACCTCCTGCAAGGTTGGAATGTCGTTTCCTATGAGTAGTATGTCATCGACATACAATACGAGGAAGCTCACTATACTCCCACTGGCCTTGACATACACACATGACTCATCTTCGTTTCGCAGAAAGCCAAATTCTTTGACCTTCTCGTCAAAAAAAGATTCCATCTGCGAGATGCTTGCTTTAATCCATAAATGGATTTTTCAAGCTTGCACACCCTATTGGGATGCTTCGCATTGACAAAACCCTCTGGCTGATTCATGTAAACATCCTCAGCCAACTTCCCATTTAGGAAAGCGGTTTTTACGTCTATCTGCCAAATTTCATAATCATGAAACGCAGCTATTGCGAGCATTACCCTAATAGACTTTATCTTGGCAACTGGCGAGAAGGTCTCATCATAGTCAACTCCAGGAGTTTGAGTAAAGCCCTTCGCGAGCAATCGCGCTTTATAAGTATGCAATTTCCCATCCATGTATGTCTTCTTCTTGAAGATCCACTTGCATCCGACTGTCTTACGACTCGGTACATTATCAACCAAATTCCAAACTTGGTTGTCATACATGAACTGAATCTCGCTGTCCATTGCCTCTTTCCATTTAGCAGACTCTGGGCCTGCCATGGCTTCCTTGTAGCTATTAGGTTCGTCCAGATTTACTAGTGTACTATCACTAATAAACGTATCCCCGTCAGTAGTAATATGGAAACCATAAAACTGGGGTGGAACAATAACTCTACTCGAACGTCTAAGAGGTAAGGACTGGTCAATTGGTTCAACATGAGTTTCCTCCTCAGGTTGAACGCCAGTGTCAGAGGTTCCTTCATCTCCTGACTCTTGAAGCTCTTCAACATCAATCTGACTCCCACTGTCTCCTTGACTTATGAGTTCTCTCTCTCTGAAAACTCCTCTCCTAGCAACAAAGACAACATTGTCACTTGGTCTATAGAAGAGATAGCCAAAAGACTTCTGTGGATAGCCGATGAAATAACACTTCTCACTACGAGGTTCTAGCTTGTCGTGAGTCTCTCTTACGAAAGCTTCACAACCCAAACCTTGATATGTGCTAACGAGGGAGATTTCCCTGTCCACATCTCGTGAGGTGTTTTGGCAACCTTCTTGGTGGGAACTAAGTTAAGGATATGGGCGGCAGTCTCTAAGGCATACCCCCAGAATGAGATTGGTAATGAAGCATGACTCATCATAGAAGGAACCATGTCCAACAAGGTTCGATTACGTCTCTCAGCCACACCATTCAATTGTGGCGTTCTAGGAGGCGTCAATTGCGAAACTATTCCACATTCTTTTAGATAGTCGTGAAACTCAAGACTTAGGTACTCTCCTCCTCGATCAGATCGAAGCATCTTGATTTTCCTGCCCAGCTGATTCTCCACTTCATTCTTAATTCTTTGAACTTTTCAAAGGTTTCTGACTTTTGCTTGATCAAGTAGATATATCCATATCTGCTATAATCGTCTGTAAAAGTCACGTAGAAGCGACAAGCGTCCCTTGTGGTGGATCTAAAGGGTCCACATACATCTGTATGTATGAGATCCAATACACCCTCACCCCTTTCACATGTACCAGTAAAGGGTGACTTGGTCATTTTTCCCAAGTAAACAAGATTCACACACGTCATCGTCCCTAAGGTCGAATGACTCCAAGACTCCATCCTTTTGGAGTTGGGCTATGCGTTTCTTGTTAACATGGCCAAGGCGACAATGCCACAAGCATGCTTTGTCCAAACTTGTGGACGAATCAATATTCAAAACATCATTTCCTAAATTATCTATAACTAACACAGATTCATAAATCCCATTACAAGGTAATGCATTGAAATAAAAGACACCATTCAAATAAGCATTAATAGAACCATTACTATTATCAAATGAATATCTGAAACCTTGTCTAAACAAACCATGAAAAGAAATGATGTTTCTTGCCATATCT